TGATTGACTTCGTTTGACCAAGTCACCAACATATGCACAAAATGCTATGTGATTTAAATTACAGGAATAAAAAGTATTAAGAGCTAACCAACAACTTTCTGACACCAAAGTTCTGAAAGATAACTTTCCCATCCAGTAAGCTTAAGGAGACGTGGTTGTAATCGATGGCACTGGACTGAGCTCAAATTAACAGTTAAACCATTAATATAAACTACGGGAACGGCAGCAGCCAAAGTGTATACTGCAACAGTGGCCAAAAATTGGCGAAAATTAAGTTTCTTGTTCGAAACTCTCTCCGCCACATCTTCAGCGCTAATCATCTGTAAATCTTTTAGTCACCAGCTAACACTTTGTGTTCCCACCATAAAACTCGCTCAAAAATCACTGATAAATAATAGTGGAAAAGTGTACTGTCATTATAGATGCTAACGTGTTTTACGAACTTAAGAAACGTAAATGTACGAATAATGAGACTCGCAAAGGTGAAATAACCAGCAGATTTGAACTTACAAATAATGAAGGAGTTAAGTCTTTCAAGAAAATGGTCCACTCAGGATCCAAAACACTGCAGAACTCCACAACATCGTTAGACCAAGTACTTTGTAAAAGATGAATTTCAAAAAAAGACCGAATAAATCTTAGAACAGTATCATCATCGTATAATCCACGTAGCGCTGTGAACCAAACTAACTTGAACTTGCCGCCAAGCGAATTTAACTGACCGAGAAATGTGTCAATCTAAAACAGTCCAACTTACTTTCGAAGACCCAATAAAACAATACGAAGAATGCAATGTATAAGCGAAGTGAAACAAAATTCTGACCCTCTTTGCATAAATATTCTTCACCTTGCAATAAAAATACAATTCAATTTCAAAAACAAGCTGTATTGAAAAAAAGGGAATTCATTCTTACTTCGCAACGAAAAATTTTTTTAAAACAATGTGAAAATAAACAATCACTAAAATATTGCTTACTCAAAAAAGAAAAATTCAAATAAATGAAAAGATGTGAAAATTACAAGACCCATAAAATATAACCGCAAAAGAAGTACCGCCGAACGGAAAGGCTCAAAAAATACCTGTCTTGCTAAAACTATTGTCTGACCCCCTAAAGTCCAATTCAGATAGTTGTGGCTAGTTAACTCAATCAGTAAACTGTCCAGTGAAATAAGAAAAATTTCGACATCCGCAAATTCGTTCAGGATATCGTCATATCTCGACTTAAAACTGTTTAAGACCTGGAAGAAAAAAAACTTATTTAATCTAATAATGGAACTGATTTCCAAATAACAAGAAAACTTTTGGAGAGACAGCAGCATCAAAAAGCTCGTTCCTGCTGTACAATCATCTATTAAAGCAGTACGCTATAGTGCGTTAATAAATAAATAAATGTGAACATTTACTATATCTGCAAAAAAAATTACAAAAACTAGATACACATAGCAAATATCTCAATACTTTCCTATAATGTTCATCACAAGACCCCTTTCAAGAGTTCATCTTCCTCAGAATAGAAAGCTTAAAATTCTACACCAACTTTACGCTAAGCCATTATTCAAATTCTACATATCTTATCATAAACCGTTTTCCCACTCAAATCATTTGAGGAAACTGCACAACAGAAAGACCTCTGCATTCATGGAGTAACATAAGCCCCATCCCCCCGTTAGAAACTTTATCAATTTTTTTTGTATGGCGCGCTCACTTTACAACAATGACTTAAAAGAACCGTTACCTCATAAAGTTTAGCTTCTGGCGCTCCCGTGGTGAAATCGTATTCAACTAATACGCTTTCTTCTTCTTCTTCAGCATCACTTCCTAGCGTACTAGACAAACTTCCAACAGTTCCCTGGACAAAAGAACGCTTTTAATGAAACCATATTTGTAACAGCAACAAGTGGCAAAAAATTTATCCAGCACCTCGTTCTGACTGCTCCTTTGGCTTACCAACCTCTTCAACCCAAAAAATTACCTTTTGTTTTGAACTTTCCAGACGTGAGTTCTCAAATCCTCCTACTACTCCATAAGAATATCAAGGGTGGTGCGAAAAGTTTCACTTAGCATCATTCAACGTGGCAACCACAAACAAACTTGTTAAAGAAACTACTGGAAGTGGAGACAAATGGTGTTGTCGAGGTTGAAAAATGCTGCTACACACACAGAAAAGATGCAGACCGCAGAAATCTCTTAAGCATCTTACAAAAATACATACATATTTCCCAATTCTAGATCGAAGCGTTCACAACCACGTAACGTGTTCTCAAAACACTAAAAAATACTCCAACATCTTCAAATATACTTTTTAGCATTTCCAAGACACTCGCAAGCAAACTCCATTCGAAGCTGTTCTTGAACACTACCAGAAGCATAAAACCTGACCTCCAACTTCTCATGCCTAAATCACTAAAGACTTAACAGAAGAAAACTTCCCCTCGTTTAACATTGCTGCGCTACAACAACATTGTGCCAACATTACGCAATGCCACATTTTATTTCTACACTCCCTCATAATATGTAATGAACTAATAGAGTATTCAGAGAAATATAAAGAATTTTCTCTTACCCAATTCATCAGAAAGAATATGACATAGGTACGAATTCAAGCAGAGGTGAATGCTGTTTGAACAAAAAGCTAATCGAAGCAAGCCGCAAAGAACAAGACAACGCTTGATTTTACTGATAAAAACGACACATCTATACTCTGTTTGACGTCAGAACTTCAACATAAAAACACTTCATCATAAAACCTTGTCAATCAAAACACTCACCTCTTCAATATCTTCGTTCTCCGAAAGCAAACTGTTGACTTCCTCACCGCGGTCACCATCTGGAGATACTGGGGCCTCAACGTCCCATTTCCCTGACATTTTTAAATGCTGAAAGCTACCGTTAATCTGTACCAATTTAATTTCAAAAAGTGTCGGGAAAATACGAGGGTGTAATCCATAAACCAACGTTAAATGCCTGAAAAAAGACTTCATAGTAAAGAATCAATCCCTTCAAGTATAAATACATGACTACAGTATAATATGCACAAAATGACAAAAAAAAAAATAAGACCTTGTTCAAAACAACATTTTCTGACAAATCCGTTAAAGAAGATAAGAGAATCAGATATCCCTAACTACCCATCAGACTTTTCTAAAAAGCATTTCATCACTGCTTACTGTTCTCTCTAACTTTCTTGACAAATCGACTAGGAGATGTGTTACGCTCTTCACAACGTCCTTAACCGTACCACAAAAATGGGAAACACAGCTTCCATGAAACACTCAATAAGGAATTTTATGGTTACCTAAAGTACTGGAAACGCTAAATAACTACCTGATGTATTTTCTCCGACCTTGCACTTTTCATAGTTATTATTTTGCTAGGCAATTCTGACTTTTGCCATTACCTTCTGATCAAATAAAAGCACATGTAAAAGCTTCAGAGCCAACCAACTAAGTCCAAAAAAGCGTTTTTTCAAATAGTTGCTTTCTCATTATGCCTTTCTAAACGAAAAATATAACCGTACACTAACAATCGAAACAACTTTCCCGCAGCCACCTAACTGATATTTCAGTAGATTAACAATTCTCAATATGAGCGATATCGCTCTCTTGAAGGCCAGTGGAGAATGTTACGGTCGAGAAAGCTTTAAAAACTCGTCAAATAGCCCGAGGTCAAAGTATGATCCCGGAAACTGTGGTAAATTGTGAGGATGCCCAATAAAGGCAACTAATGCATCTTCCAAAACAATCTCTCCTCTATCTGGTGAGCACTTTAGAAACTTCAGTAATCATAAGTCGTTTTTGTTCAATCCTTATGAAAAATAAAGGCTGACGATCAGCTGAGAGGGACGATCTGGAAGGGTGACGACGATAAAGTTTTTTCTCGGAAAATAAAGGATGGACTGAAAAAGTTTGAGGAGAACCGTACTAGACCGCCCCATACAGATTGCTACTCAAACAAGTTATTAGACAAATGAAGTTTAACTCATATTTCTGCTCCTATCATAAGAACAAGACTTTAATCCTAAATGTTTATTACACAGAATTAAAATTTGGTCCACAAATCAAAAAATTATATCAATAACAAAGCTTACATGCATGGTCCTTCCAAAGTGATAACTTTAAAGCATATATTTCAACCTCAAAAAGAAAAAAGCACTATGCTCACATCAATGTGCCAAACAGCACAATCCACTCCCTTCCCATGTTGAAAACAAGGCTTAAAATCAGGAGGAAAACTTTGCCGTCATTACCCTGCCATTTCTGAATGAAAATGTATTTCGAAAACTAACCCTAATCCTACCTCAAATACCTCAAAAGTAACTTTACTAAAGCACACGATACTTTTGTAAACGCAGAGTTGTACTTCAAATCTATATGATTAAATCTTTAGACTTTCTACATGTTTCAGGTGGCAGATTAATCTTTCGAAAGTGACAAACAATAATTTTTTAAATTGAATCAAAAACACTATGTTTGCGCATCTGAAAACTACGAAGACTCCAATGCAGACTGTAAAAGTGGCAAAAGAAAGTGGGGATCAACAAACAAGTGAAGGTGCAATTTTGTTACGAGCTCACAGATGCTAATTGGAAAGGTCTTACCTGACTCAGAAACGATTGATATGTAACTGTACTGAAACAGTTCACCAAGCAGATATCAGAAATCTAATTATACTCTTGTAACCTAGTGGATTCTTTTCATTGGATCCCCTTATCTTCATCCACAAAATTTATAACATTTACATGATGAGAGCTTACGAAGTGTATTTTAATAAACCGCCTGTCCCAGCCTCTAGATCTTTCAAGTTTTCAAAGTTCGGGTCAACCCGCAGGTAACAGATTGTCTAGTGAAGCTCCCAAACAAGCATTTCAAATTCAAAAACTACCCTCGGCCAGCACGCACTCATTATGGTGTCTTGCAAATGATTCTAAAGGAAACAAAAAGGACAGTAAAAATAAAACTGACCGTTCACTTTATCTTCACAACTCTAACACTACAAGTACAAAGTTGCAGACCCTAAATAAACATCTTTTATTGAAACCTAAACATTCTCATCATAATTTTGCTTAAATCAAGCAAACTTTACTCACTTAACATTAACAACTTTCACTTAATGGATAAATTTTGTCGGAAGTAAATATGACATATTTTCACCACCAGTAATTTAGAAAAAAGCTGGAAATTTGAAGAAATAAAGTTGTGATAAAAAAATAAAAATAAAAAAAAACTAAAAAAAAAAGTGTAATAAAACATAATAATGCTTGTAAAAAATGAAATAAATTTTTGCTGATATCAGTCTCGTTGCTGTAAAGTCTTTGTTAAGACGACTGTAAATGGCCAGCAATGATAATAGCACTAAAACTAACCTGTGCTACAAACTAACATTTTAGTTCAAATAAATACAGGTTTCACAACTGTAACACTCGGAGGGCTTCCGAAATCAAATTTAAAACTTAACAGCAGAAAACCAACTGGTGCTGCAACGATAAGCAGCAACTTATCCGGTAAAAGCAGCAACTACAAAGGATTGCATAAACCGTAAGCATCAGAAACACCCGCATCAATCAAACATTAAAAAGCAGCGACATTCCAGTAGACCTATCTCTATTGATTTATCTTTTAATCAGCCCTTCCTCAAAGTAACATCAAACTCATTACAACGAAAGTCCACTCGGCCTCAAAAATCTAGCCTCTCATTCAAAGTAAACTTCCGATTGAAAGGTGAAAAAAAGTATTGAAATATACGGAAATAAAAACTCCATCAGCAACGAAGGAACGAAGAGAACTGCACTGAAAGGTTGAACAGAACAACAGTAGCACAACAACAAAAGTGGACAACACTGCAACTGTTTATGGCAAGTATAGTCGATTTTCTACGAGACTTTTTCAGTTCGTTGGCATGCAGCCAATTTCACGCTCTGACAGAGTACGGTAGACGACTAATCTGACATGACCTTTCTATCCGTTATCACTCAGCCAGCCCACTTTTTGACGCATAAGAATGTCTGGCACTCGTATTGTACTCTGGGTGAAACTCAAAATAATATCTGCACAAAAGTATAAAGGTCTGTTCACTTTTATCCTGTAATATATGATTAGTATAACTTGTTAGGTTAGCTAAATCCGATTAAGGAATCGTAAGCATTATTTCAGCTACGTTGTGAATTAAAAAGTGCTTCTTAGCTACAAACTTGCTGTGGAACGTACCACAACCTTTTTTGGTTCAGTCACTGCTTACAGTCGATATTGACTCAGTAAATTTTTCACCTAAACGTTTATGACACTATGAGAGTCGGGAACTTACAGCTCTTCAACAATGAGTTTCTCTAACAGTAAAACAAAAGCTTTAAGAAATTTGGCCATTATATAAAGCTTAGCTTCAAACAAGTTGTCATTATAATAGTAAATTTTTGCTGTAGGACAGTACCAGTCATAAAAATCGCTATATTTAACTACATGTATGGAATTCCGATGGCTATTACGAAAAGTTGTATTATGCTTTAAAATATTTTGTAATTACTGATTTCATCTTACTTTAACTTCCAACTGATAACTTAGCTTGCCGTGGTACGTAAAGGTTTGACTCATGCTAAAATTTTTTTAACAAGGCTAGAAGAATTTCATTAAAATAAATTGAGCACAAATGCGCGAATTTGGTATGAAAACAGGGCCGCTTAAGTGACCCTTATTTACAGTATGCACATTTTTGGTGAGCAATGAGCAACGGTACGTAGATATCATCGTTTCTCATGGAAAGTAGTGACTAAGGATGGTGCAAAGGTAAATTATCGCATTCACCAAAGCCCCCACGTGTATTTCTACCCACTTTTTTGGGATGTATGATATGATTACTAGGAAATAAAAAAATAACGTGGCAATAATAAGTCTTGTTTAAATTGTTAACATTTGACAGCTTCATGCTTCTGGTTCTCTTTTTT